GGTGTGCGCGCCCCTCGGGGTCCCGCTGGCCAGTTGCACCTGCTGCTCCCTGGGCAGCCCTGGCTGGGGTCCCTTATGGCTTGGGGGGACGTGGCTCTGGCTGGGCTGGAACGGGATTCTGGGATCCCTTGACAACTGTGAGGAGCCATTGGAGGCTGAACCCCTCTGGCAGATGGTGCCATCCCTGTGGGGTCTCTGCCTCTAGTGCCCAGGAGCTATTGCAGGCACCCACCAGAGTGGTCACGCTGTCTGGGTCAATGTCCCTTCACTGTCGCCCAAGGGCTGTGTTCAGGGCTGTGCCACTGACTGTCCCCCCATCTTTGCAGGAGCCCGGGATGAACAGCTCAGTGCCAGGGCTGCTGCCGGCAGGACAGCCCGGCCAGTGCCAACCCAGTGACCCGGTGCAGTTCGTGCTGGTGCCCACTGTCTACTTCCAGAAAACCAACTGTATCCTGGGCTGTATCAAAGTAAGCGGGGTCAGCAGGTTGAGGGAGGGGATTCTGCCCCTCTATCCACTGTCATGAGACACCACCTTGAGTACTGTGTCCTGCTCTGAAGTTGTCAGCACAGGAAAGATATGGACCTGTTGAAGTGGGTCCAGAGGAGGGCCACAGAAATGATCAGAGGATGGAGCACCTCTCCTTTGGGGAAAAGCTGAGAGAGTTGGGGTTTGTTCAGCATGGAGAAGTCTCTGGTAAGACCTTAATGAGGCCTTTCAATACTTAAAGAAAGTCTATAAAAAATATGGGCATATACTTTTTAATAGGGCCTGTTGTGATAGGACAAGGGGTAATGGTTTTAAACTAAAAGAGGGTAGATTTAGACTAGAAATAAGGAAGAAATTTTTTATTATGAGGGCAGTGAAACACTGGCACAGGTTGCACAGAGAGGTGGTAGATGCTCCATCCCTGGAAAAATTCAAGGTCAGGTTGGATGGGGCCCTGAGCAACCTGATCTAGTTGAAGATTTCTCTGCTCACTGCAGGGAGGTCTGATTACATGGCCTTTAAAGGTGCCTTCCAACCCAAACTATTATCCACCCTGGATGTGCTGCACACGCTGAGCGTGGCCCTGCTCAGCCTCAACAGCTGCCTCGACCCCCTCGTCTACTGCTTCTCCATCCGGCGCTTCCGCTCAGACCTGGGACAGACCCTGCGCAAGATCAGCTGCTGCCTCCTGCTCTCCCCCCAGGCCTCCTCCAGGCCCGTGCCCAGCGTCCGTGCATCCTCCTTCGCCTCCTCGTAACTGGAATCCTGTCCCCTGGCTGCTCTGGTGTCACAGTCCCAGCGGGATGGGGAGCAGCGGGAGGGGGCTCTGGCTTCGTACTGCCCCTGCTCCACTCTGTGTGTTCCCATGGTTTCCTTTCACACATGGATCTTGCCCTCCCCACTCACAGGCACCGAGGAGGGGCTGCTCACCTGGCAAGGGGGGCTGAGCCGCTGCAGGAGGGGCTGAATTGTGGTGGGACATGGTGAGACGGGACGGGAAGCCCAGGGGTTGTTGTCTCCTTTTGGCAGTCTCAGTCCCATGGGAACATGTGTGATGAGAGACACCCATGGCATGAGCCTGGGGGGTTCTGGTTGGGGTCCCATGGCAGGTCCTGTCCTGCAGTGCGTGCCCACATCCCTCCTGCCCTCAGCCAGGATTAAAAATGAACGA